CACAATTATATGTATCATACAAACTCTATAATGATTTAACAGGCATTATGTACTATGATCAGGAAAATCTTGAACTTTTCAGCTTCCCTTATACACTATTCTCTCCCTTACATTTTTCTACTCCACTCATATCTCATATTTCCTCTTTTAGAAGGTTTTTAATGACTTGCATACCCTATTAAGTAAGTCAATTTTGAGGGAGTCATTTGTACTGAATAGAATGTAATGTATGTTCTTTTCTCTCTGTCCTCTTTCCCTCTTTATTTCTACACACACACACACACACACACACACACACACACACACACACTTGTGTGTATGTGTGTCAAAATCATTAAAACTTGCCTCCTGAATCCTTACAAATTAAAAATACAAACACATGTAAACATTTAAGTCTTAATCTCCTCTATAGTCAGGTGTCATCTTAATATAGATAAACTAGATTTTTTTTAAATGTAAGAAGTTCTTTTATTCCTGAAGTATTGTTTCATTTTATCTCATAAATTTGTATTCCTTTTTGTGTGTTTCAACAAATGAAAGCAACACTGGATTTTATGTTATAGCTGAGCTATTGCTAAGGAAATTAAAGACAAAATGCTGTCATCTGAGTAAAAGTATGAAGAAATGGCCCACAAATGCTTTGCGAATGAAGTTTTTCATCTTGCTCACTATTACACCATCTGTTCACTATCAGTGTGATTTATTTTCTCCAAAAGTACTGAGTGACCTGAATCCTCATTAGTAGATGAAATGCTAAAATATCGTATGAATTAAGCAAGTTCTTTTTTAAACTTTTAATGTATTTTGTAAACTTCAGAAATATAGGAAAGAATAAACTGCCATGAGAGTACTAAGATGATATTTAAAACAGAAAATTTAAAGAAACTTAAAAATCATCACTAATCCACTTATGGTAATAAATCAATGTCTCCAAATAATTCAACCAGGAATCATTTTGACAGCACATGTACTGAAATTGGAACAGTACAGAGAAGATTAGCATGACCCCTGCAAGCATTACACACAAATTTGTGAAGCGTTCCAACTTTTTATGCAGGGAAGGGGAACTCTTATCCACTGTTGGTGGGGTTACAAACTAGGGAAACCATTGTGGAAAATTGTATGGATAATGCTTAAAAAAACTAAAAATCACTCAACAGTATGATCTGGCAATGCCACTCCTTAGCACATACACAATGGATTCATCTTACTGCAGAGATACTTACAAACCATGATTGTTGCTGCTTTGCCCACAGTAGCTGACTGGGGAGGGAGGAGGAAGGGTTATACCGGACAACAGAGAGGAAGCATAATGTTTAGATGGTGTTTAAAACCAGAGGGAAATATATCCAGCATCCTACTGAAGAATATATATACACAGTACCAGGCAAGAGAAACCTCCCTTTCAGTTGTTGGTCAAAGTAGTCCAAGAAACTCCCAAAATAACACATGCTTTTGCTACATCCCTTCATTAACCGCCCCGCCCCCCGAATTTGAAGGTAAGCCTCTATTTCTGAGGACAGTCCACACTTCTGACATAGAATTTGGAAAAATCAGGGTAGAACTGACCTGAAAACCTCCCTGAAGTCTAGTTTTCAGAGGCTACTATACTAACTTCCAAGAGAGAAAACCATCAATAGTCCGACAGAGCTGTAAACACTAATAAACAACAATGAACGGTCTGCAAACAATGTCTATTTGTGGATTCATGGCACTATGATCTTGGGGATAATCAAAGCTGTCCAAATAGAATTAGGGCTAGCTCAGTGGGAACTCACGTGTAGCACTGCAGACATTGCCAAATGCACATGGCTGGAGAAGTCATAAATATTAGAGAAGAATCCACTTTTGCCACATTCCTGGACAAACACGCAGGGCAGTCTTTCCTCCTTCACTTATGCAACGATGTGGATTTTGCTGATACTTTCTTAAGTCCTGGGCAGTAACACACAATGCATAGCAAATGCAGAGTTGGGAAACAGAACCCCCGTTCAGCAGAAAGGCAGCACACTTCAATTTTCACGAGAGCACTCAGGAAGCACCAGCTGTCATTCAAACTCAGCTAAGTTTCACATAGAAAAAATAATTAAACCCGACCAACCAGGTTCAAGATAGGTTTTGTGAAAAGCAGCCTGTGAAAAGAAGGAAGGAAAATAATAATATAAAGTCTAACACTTCAAGAGTGTTTTGGAAGCCCTCCAGATATCCGAACAACTCATCGATAGATGTGTTTTAACGTCGGAAAATTAGCTGACAAATTGAATCATCTTAATAAACTTCTCAGACTTTCATTAAATTCTAAGGATGACATGAACATTATTTCTTGTGTGTGAACTTATTTCCAAGATGGCTATGGGATTATCTCCACCTGTCCAGGAAATGTTTCCTACATGGCATACAGGAAAATTAAAATTTTAACTTAATTGAGTTTAATATTTTGGAGTTACACAATGGAAATGTAGCTTCTTCACCATCGTACAGTCCATATTCTTTAGCATTCACTGTGATAGAACTCTTACCTGAAGATGCTAACGTGACATTTACTTGTCCACTGATTATTCTTTTATGCCACCACATGAGTTCTGTCCCCATCTATACTTATTCTCTGCTATGCTGATGTTTGCTCTTTAGACCTCTCTTTAGAATTATTTCTTCCATGATTTACCTTATTTAATTAAAACTCATTGAATGAATGTCCCTCACTGTTTTGCATTATTTTAGGATTTTATATGTTTTCTTGAGTATTTGTAATCAAGTAAACTAATATCTATACTCATGCTAACTCAATTAAATATAGAAAACAACAATCATTTTTATATGTAATATGTACTGCTCACTGTTTTGTGATTACGAGTCATATATGAAAGATATTTGCTTTAAGTGAGCTCATTTTTGGCCTATATTGATTGAAAAGCCAAGGAGTTTTTGGCTCCTTTGAGTTATTAACCTATAAAATACAGAAGGCTTATATCATTAACTTGTACATCATGGGGGATTCAATGTGTTTCATTCTTTGTCAGTAAAATTAACTTAATTTCTCAAACATTTGTATTAGACCTGAAAGATCTGGCTTTATGTGGGCACAGTAGGGGCCAAAACCACACATGATAATTATGTATCTAAAATTAAAAATTCCTGTATCAAAAATCCAATATAATCTCATCTTATAAGAATAGTATTCAAGTGAGTGAATATTGAAAGACTTTAAAAAGTTGTCTATATGTTGTCACATTTGTTTGAAATACTAAATCTTGGGGCTGGAAGGTGGCTCAGCGGTTAAGAACACTGGTTGTTCTTGCAGAAGACCAGGGTTCTAATCCCAGTACCCACATGGCAGCTAAGAACTGTCTGAAACTCCAGTCCTAGGGGATCCTACAGCCTCTTCTGACCTCTGCAGGCATTGCACGACACAGGTGCACTTATCTACACGCAGGCAATACACATATACACATAAAAATAAATAAATATTTTTAAAAAGTTAAAAAATAAATATTAAATCTTTTGAAAAAATAACATTATTTTTATTTTACATGTGTGAGTATATTGCTTGAACCTGCGTAGGAGTACACATGTTGTTCAAGGCCCATGGAATTTAAAAGACAGTGTCAGATTCCCTTGAACTGGAGTTACAGATAGTTGTTAGCTGCCATGTAGGTACTGGAAATCAAACCCAGGTCCTCTGCAAGAGTATCCAGTGCTCTTAACAGCTGAGGCACCTCTTCAGACCCTGAAATTTTAAATCTTACTCAACTTTAACTCATAAGCATTTCAATTTTTGATGCAATTAGCTTTGAAAGAAGAAAAATGTCTACAAGTTGGAAGCTCTCTCTCTCTCCCTCTCTCCCTCCTACCCTCTCCTTCACTCTCTTTCTCTTTGCATTGCACAACACAGGTGCACTCACATACATACAGGCAATACATTTGTACACATTAAAAAAAAAAAGAAAAAAAAATTATTGAAAAAAAATATTGAAGCTGGAGAGCTAGCTCAGTGGTTAAGAGCACTGTCTGCTCTTTCAGAAGACACAGACTTGACTCCTGGTACCCACATGGTGACTAACAATTGTAACTCCTTTTCCAGACGCCCTCTTCTGGCCTCCGTGGACATTGCATGACACCAGTACACATATATATTCAGGCAATACACTCATACACTTTAGATAAATAAATAAAAAGTTTTACAAGTTTTACATTATTTTAAAAATTGATTTTTATTTTATGTGTATAAGTGTTTCTTTTCATGTATGTAAGTGCACCACATGCAGACAGTGCCCATGAACCCAAAAGAGGGTGTCAGATCCCTGGAACTGGATGTACAGACAGTTGTTAGCCACCCTGTGGGTGCTGGGAACTAAACCCTGGTCCTCTGCAAGAGCAGCCAGGGCTCTTAATCACTGAGCAAGCTCTCCAGGCCCTATTGGTTTTTAATTTTTACTGCATTTGGTTGGGGGGACATACATGTCCCACCATACATATGTAGCAGTCAGAGGACAACCTGCAGGAGTTGGTTCTCTCCTTCTGTCATGTAGATCTGGGGGATCAAATTCAGCTTTTCAGGCTTGGTGGCAAGGGCCTTTTCTGTTGCCATCCCAGTTTTAATCCCAAGGCTGGCAGGAGGATCCAAAATGCAAGGCCATCCTCAGGTCTGCAGTCAGTTTGAAACTAGCCCAAGCTGCACAAAACCCGTCTTAAAAAAAAAACCAAAAACCTGCTGGGCATGGTGGCACAGGCCTTTAATCCCAGCACTTGGGAGGCAGAGGCAGGTGGATCTCTGTGAGTTCAAGGCCAGCCTGGTCTACATAGTGAGTTCCAGCCTGACTGGGGCTGCAGGTAGACCCTGTCTCAAAAGACCAAAAAAGCCCCCCCCCAAACAAAACAAAACAAAGCAAAACAAAAAAAACCTGAGTGTCCCAGACGGCTGAGTGAGTGAAGCACCTGTTACCAAGCCTGAAGATCCGAATTCAATCCCAGGGGCCCATGTGGTGGAAGGACAGAACTGCCTCTCACAAGTTGTTTGGCTGGTGTGGAAACACCCCCACCCCACACATACACAGAGTGTATAATTAAATGTGATTTTAAAAAAGGTTTTGGGGGGCTGGAGAGATGGCTCAGTGGTTAAGAAGACTGGTTGTTCTTGCAGAAGATCCAGGTTTGAATCCCAGCACCCACATGGCAGATAACAACTGTCAGTAACTCCAGTCTCAGGGAATCCGATGGCTTTTTCAGCACTTGCCTACGTGCAGGCAGTACACACATACACATAAAATAAAAAGTAAAAATAAATAAAGAATGCCTAGACTACAAGGAGTTCTAGCTTTAAGAAATCAATTAATAAGCTGATTAACTAAAATATGTAAAGGGGAAAGATATTATGGAACTATCATATGTATAATTCATATATTGCCATTCATAAAAGACCAAGTCCAAGATAGATTGAAATTCATATCTGTAATAGGACATAAATGAGAAAAAAGAGCCAAAATGATATACTCATGATATAACCACACAAATACTAAAATATAAAACATCAAAGTGAAAAGCAGCAAATAACAATAAAAAATTAAATTTGGGGTTGGAGAAATGGTCCAGTGGTTAAGAGCACTGGCTGTTCTTGCAGAGGACCTCGGTTTGAGTCCCAGCACCCACATAATGACTAGTAACCACCCATCACTCCAGTTCTAGGAGATCCAACCCACTCTGCTGACTCTGTGGACACTGCACAACATGGGTGCACTTGCACACATGCAGGTAATACAGTGATATACAAAAAATAAAAAGCAAAAGATAGAATATAAAAAATATGAATTTTCAAATTTAAAAGGAAAATTATACAAATAGTCATGTAGAATTCATGAGTAGAATTTACTCGAATTTTGATAAGTGAATCAAAGGAAAACGTAGACTGCATTTTACTAACAGCATTAACTAACTTACTTTCAGATTACATATAAAGTCTTACACTATTTAGAAAATTGTTGCTCATGTTCCAGTAAATAGTCAGCTGGACCCATGTTCATGCAAGTAACCCTATTTAAGCTCAGTGAGTCACAT